AACAGCGTGTTGGTAATTACAAGCCCATGGGCTGCACAAAAATCTAGCAGCCTCCTACCGTTGTTATTGAGCTGATCTGGCCCATGCCCTCCAATCACTCCAGACCAGGTGCCAGTATCATGACCAACTCGGGCATTGAAGTCACCCAACATGATGACTCTATCCCGAGGGGCCACTTTAGCCAGCACCTGTGACAGGAGGTCATAGAAGGCATCTGACTCATCGGCTTTGCCTGCATCCCTCCACGGATGTTCATCTTCGGTGGGGGCATAAGTAACCACGACCACCATTCCTCGCCTCCGGTTGATGGGAAGGCGAGCCCAAAGTAGCCTGGGGCTTACAGCTTCCCACACCTCACCGCCACGCTCCCACGCCCCCTTCATTCTTTTGTTCAAAAGAAGACCCACACCCTGTTGTTTGGCAGTCTGCTGCCCCGAGTAGAGGACTGTCCACCCCTCATGGTGGCAGGAGCCAGAGCCGGTCCACCGGACCTCCTGAATGCCGCATAGATCCAGGCGGTACCGGTCCAGCTCCCGACAGAGGAGTGGCAGCCTCTCCTCTGCAGTGAGCGTTCGAACATTCCACGTGGCCACCCGTAGTGGCTTTTCGTTGTTTCTGGAGTAGCCCCGAGGGTAGGTATTCAATCTCCTGGCTCCGCCAATTGGGGTTTGGCCAGGAGACGTCATAGACGCCTGGCCCCCCGGGGCCTCCGGCACAAGCTTAGTTGTTACATATTTCACTTTAATTCGTGGTTTTGTGGTAATTAATTGAAGGTGGAGGGGTTACCAGCCCCTCGCACCCGTCCAGAGCCCCCGTTTAGCCCCTGTGGTGGACACATATGCCATGAGGGGAGGAGCCAATCAAAATTGGAACTCCCCCCACAGCACTGTCCACGACAGAGTTGCCCGTCCGGCACCGCGAGGAGGTAGGGGGTTGTTTTGCCTACACACACACACAGACACACACACACACAGCTCCTACACACACACACACAGCTCCTACACACACACACAGACACACACACACACACAGCTCCTAAACACACACACAGACACACACACAGACACACACACACAGCTCCTACACACACAGGTCCTACACACACAGCTCCTAAACACACACACAGACACACACACACACACAGCTCCTACACACACACACAGACACACACACAGCTCCTAAACACACACACAGACACACACACATAGAGACACACACACAGCTCCTACACACACACACACAGCTCCTAAACACACACACAGACACACACACAGACACACACACACAGACACACACACACACAGACACACAGGTCCTACACACACACACACACACAGCTCCTAAACACAGACACACACACACAGACACACACACACACACAGACACACACACACAGCTCCTACACACACAGCTCCTAAACACACACACAGACACACACACAGCTCCTACACACACAGCTCCTACACACACACACAGGTACACACACACACAGCTCCTAAACACACACACAGACACACACAGAGACACACACACAGACACACACACAGCTCCTAAACACACACACAGACACACACACACAGCTCCTACACACACACACACAACTCCTACACACACACAGACACACACACACAGCTCCTACACACACACACAGCTCCTAAACACACACACAGACACACACACACACACAGCTCCTACACACACAGCTCCTAAACACACACAAACAGGTACACACACACACACAGCTCCTACACACACAGCTCCTACACACACACACAGACACACACACAGCTCCTACACACACAGCTCCTACACACACACACAGCTCCTAAACACACACACAGCTCCTACACACACACACAGACACACCCACAGCTCCTACACACACAGCTACTACACACACTCACTCACCTATTCACCTACACACCCACACACACAGATACTCACCTATACACACACACACAGCTACTCACTCACCTACACACCTACACACACACACAGCTCCTACACACACACACAGACACACACACAGCTCCTAAACACACACAGCTCCTACACACACTCACTCACCTACTCACCTACACACACACAGGTACATTCACCTACACACACAGATACTCACCTATACACACACAGCTACTCACTCACCTACACACCTACACACACACACACAGACACACACACACAGCTCATACACACTCACCTACACACTCACCTACACACCTACACACACAGCTACTCACTCACCTACACACTCACCTACACACTCACCTACACACACACACACACACAGCTACTCACCTACACACACACACAGCTACTCACCTACTCACCTACACACTCACCTACTCACTCACCTACTCACCTAAACACACACAGCTACTCACTCACCTACACACCTACACACACACACAGCTCCTACACACACACAGGTACTACACACACACACACAGGTACTCACACACAGACACACACACAGACACACACACAGACACACACACACACAGCTCCTACACACACACACAGGTACTCACCTACACACACACACAGACACACACACAGACACTCACCTACACACACACAGACACACACACAGACACACACACTCACCTACACACACACACAGCTACTCACCTACACACACACAGCTACTCACCTACACACTCACCTACACACACACACACAGGTACTCACTCACCTACACACTCACGTACACACACACAGCTACTCACACAGCTACTCACCTACACACCTACACACCTGCACACACACAGGTACTCACTCACCTACACACACACAGCTACACTCACCTACACACTCACCTACTCACTCACCTACTCACTCACCTACACATGCACCTACTCACCTACTCACTCACCTACTCACCTATACACTCACCTACACACTCACCTACTCACTCACCTACACATTCACCTACACACTCACTCAACCACTCACTCACTCACTCACCCACTAACTCACTCACCCACCCACCCATGCACTCACTCACCTACTCAGTGAGTGGGTGAGTGGGTGAGTGAGTGATGAGTGGTGAGTGGGTGAGTGGTGGGTGAGTGAGTGAGTGGTGAGTGAGTGGTGAGTGGTGAGTGAGTGGTGAGTGGTGAGTGGTGAGTGGGTGGTGAGTGGTGAGTGGTGAGTGAGTGAGTGGTGAGTGAGTGGTGAGTGGTGAGTGGTGGGTGAGTGAGTGAGTGAGTGGTGAGTGAGTGGTGAGTGGTGAGTGAGTGGTGAGTGGTGAGTGGTGAGTGGGTGGTGAGTGGTGAGTGGTGAGTGAGTGGTGAGTTAGTGGTGAGTGAGTGGTGAGTGGTGAGTGGGTGGTGAGTGGTGAGTGGTGAGTGAGTGGTGAGTGAGTGGTGAGTGGTGAGTGGTGGGTGAGTGAGTGAGTGGTGAGTGAGTGGTGAGTGAGTGGTGAGTGGTGAGTGGTGAGTGAGTGGTGAGGAGTGGGTGAGTGAGTGAGTGAGTAAGTGGTGAGTGAGTGAGTGGGTGAGTGGGTGAGTGAGTGGTGAGTGGGTGAGTGGTGAGTGAGTGGTGAGTGGTGAGTGAGTGGTGAGTGAGTGAGTGAGTGGTGAGTGGTGAGTGAGTGAGTGAGTGGTGAGTGGTGAGTGAGTGGTGAGTGGTGAGTGGTGAGTGAGTGGTGAGTGAGTGGGTGAGTGAGTGAGTGAGTGGTGAGTGAGTGGTGAGTGAGTGGTGAGTGAGTGATTGAGTGGTGAGTGAGTGGGTGAGTGGTGAGTGAGTGAGTGAGTGGTGAGTGGTGAGTGAGTGGTGAGTGAGTGAGTGAGTGGTGAGTGAGTGGGTGGGTGGGTGAGTGAGTGAGTGGTGAGTGAGTGGTGAGTGGTGAGTGGGTGAGTGAGTGGTGAGTGGTGAGTGAGTGGTGGGTGAGTGAGTGAGTGGGTGAGTGAGTGGGTGAGTGAGTGAGTGAGTGGTGAGTGAGTGGTGAGTGGTGAGTGAGTGGTGAGTGGTGAGTGGTGAGTGAGTGGTGAGTGGTGAGTGGTGAGTGAGTGGTGAGTGGTGAGTGAGTGGTGAGTGGTGAGTGAGTGGTGAGTGAGTGAGTGGTGAGTGGTGAGTGAGTGGTGAGTGAGTGAGTGGTGAGTGGTGAGTGAGTGGTGAGTGAGTGGTGAGTGAGTGGTGAGTGAGTGAGTGAGTGTGTGAGTGAGTGAGTGAGTGGGTGGGTGAGTGAGTGAGTGGGTGAGTGGGTGAGTGAGTGGTGAGTGAGTGAGTGGTGAGTGAGTGAGTGGTGAGTGAGTGGTGAGTTAGTGGAGAGTGGTGAGTGGGTGAGTGAGTGAGTGAGTGGGTGGGTGAGTGAGTGAGTGGGTGAGTGAGTGAGTGGTGAGTGGTGAGTGAGTGAGTGAGTGGTGAGTGAGTGGGTGAGTGAGTGGTGAGTGAGTGGTGAGTGGGCGAGTGAGTGAGTGAGTGAGTGAGTGGTGAGTGGTGAGTGACTGTGTGAGTTAGTGAGTGAGTGGGTGAGTGAGTGGGTGAGTGAGTGAGTGAGTGGTGAGTGGTGAGTGGGCGAGTGAGTGAGTGAGTGAGTGGTGAGTGGTGAGTGACTGTGTGAGTGAGTGAGTGAGTGGGTGAGTGAGTGGGTGAGTGAGTGAGTGGGTGAGTGAGTGGGTGAGTGAGTGAGTGGGTGAGTGAGTGAGTGGTGAGTGAGTGGGTGAGTGAGTGGTGAGTGGTGAGTGAGTGAGTGGGTGAGTGAGTGAATGAGTGAGTGGTGAGTGAGTGAGTGGTGAGTGAGTGAGTGGGTGAGTGAGTGAATGAGTGAGTGGTGAGTGAGTGGTGAGTGGTGAGTGAGTGGTGAGTGGTGAGTGAGTGAGTGGGTGAGTGAGTGAATGAGTGAGTGGTGAGTGAGTGAGTGAGTGGTGAGTGAGTGAGTGAATGAGTGAGTGGTGAGTGAGTGGTGAGTGAGTGGTGAGTGGTGAGTGGTGAGTGAGTGAGTGGTGAGTGGTGAGTGGTGAGTGAGTGGTGAGTGGTGAGTGGGCGCTCCTCACTTGGTTGGTGAGGACACCTCAAAACAGAATCGTCTCTGTTCATCGTCGCTCGGCTTCACGGAACACAGCCGGAGATCTTCAATCACCGCAGTGGGGACATCCTGGGTGGTGGGTGGTGGGTGGGTGGGTGGGTGGTGGGTGGGTGGTGGGTGGGTGAGTGACAAGGTGAGTGAGTGACAAGGTGAGTGGGTGGGTGGGTGGGTGAGTGAGTGACAAGGTGAGTGGGTCGGTGGCAAGGTGAGTGACAAGGTGAGTGAGTGACAAGGTGAGTGAGTGGGTGAGTGTGTGAGTGAGTGAGTGGGTGAGTGGGTGGGTGGGTGGGTGAGTGGTTGGGTGGGTGAGTGGGTGGGTGGGTGGGTGAGTGGGTGAGTGGGTGGGTGGGTGGGTGAGTGAGTGACAAGGTGAGTGGGTGGGTGGGTGGGTGAGTGGGTGGATGGGTGAGTGAGTGGGTGGGTGGGTGAGTGAGTGGGTGGGTGAGTGGGTGGGTGAGTGACAAGGTGAGTGGGTGGGTGGGTGGGTGAGTGAGTGGGTGGGTGGGTGGGTGAGTGAGTGACAAGGTGAGTGGGTCGGTGGCAAGGTGAGTGACAAGGTGAGTGGGTGGGTGAGTGGGTAGTGAGTGACAAGGTGAGTGGGTGAGTGGGTGGTGAGTGACAAGGTGAGTGGGTCGGTGGCAAGGTGAGTGACAAGGTGAGTGAGTGGGTGGGTGGGTGGTGAGTGACAAGGTGAGTGGGTGGTTGAGTGGGTGGTGAGTGACAAGGTGAGTGAGTGAGTGAGTGGGTGGGTGATTGGGTGAGTGGGTGGGTGAGTGGGTGAGTGAGGTGGTGAGTGAGGTGGTGAGTGAATGGGTGAGTGAGGTGGTGAGTGAGGTGGTGAGTGAGGTGGTGAGTGAGGTGGTGAGTGAGTGGGTGAGTGTTTACGTACTGTGTATTTCTTCTGATAAACCAGCTGATTGTTCTGAATTGCAAACCACCTCCTGTGATAAGAACAACAACAACAACAAACACAACAATCACTTAATCACAACAACAACAACAAACACAACAACCACTCAATCACAACAACAACAAACACAACAATCACTTAATCACAACAACAACAACCACAACAACAAACACAACAACAAACACAACAATCACTTAATCACAACAACAACAACAACCACAACAACAAACACAACAACCACTCAATCACAACAACAACAAACACAACAACAACCACAACAACAAACACAACAATCACTTAATCACAACAACAACAACAAACACAACAACAACAACAAACACAACAACCACTTAATCACAACAACAACAAACACAACAACAACCACAACAACAAACACAACAATCACTTAATCACAACAACAACCACAACAACAACCACAACAACAAACACAACAACCACTCAATCACAACAACAACAAACACAACAACAACCACAACAACAAACACAACAATCACTTAATCACAACAACAACAACAAACACAACAACAACAACAACAACAAAGACAACAACCACTTAATCACAACAACAACAAACACAACAACAACCACAACAACAAACACAACAATCACTTAATCACAACAACAACAAACACAACAACAACCACAACAACAAACACAACAATCACTTAATCACAACAACAACAACAAACACAACAACAACAACAAACACAACAACCACTTAATCACAACAACAACAAACACAACAACAACCACAACAACAAACACAACAATCACTTAATCACAACAATAACAACAAACACAACAACAACAACAAACACAACAACCACTTAATCACAACAACAAACACAACAACAACCACAACAACAAACACAACAATCACTTAATCACAACAACAACCACAACAACAACCACAACAACAAACACAACAACCACTCAATCACAACAACAACAAACACAACAACAACCACAACAACAAACACAACAATCACTTAATCACAACAACAACAACAACAACAAACACAACAACAACAACAACAACAAACACAACAACCACTTAATCACAACAACAACAAACACAACAACAACCACAACAACAAACACAACAATCACTTAATCACAACAACAACAAACACAACAACAACCACAACAACAAACACAACAACCACTCAATCACAACAACAACAACAACAAACACAACAATCACTCAATCACAACAACAAAAACCACAACAACAAACACAACAACCACTTAATCACAACAACAACAAACACAACAACCACTCAATCAATCACAACAACAACAACAACCACTCAATCACAACAACCACTCAATCACAACAACAACAACAAACACAACAACCACTCAATCACAACCACAACAACCACAACAACCACAACAACAAACACGACAACCACTCAAGCACAACCACAACAACAACCACAACAACAACCACCACCATCACCACCACCACCACGAACTGTGTAACCTCACCCCACACTCTCCCTTTGGTAGTGGGGTGAGTGGTGAGTGGTGAGGGGTGAGTGGTGAGTGGTGATGGGTGAGTGGTGAGGGGTGAGTGGTGAGTGGTGAGGGTACCTGACGTGTGTTGGTGTTTTTCTGCCCAAAGGAAGACGTGGGGTGAGTGGGTGGTGAGTGGGTGAGTGGGTGAGTGGGTGGGTGAGTGGGTGAGTGAATGAGTGAGTGGTGAGTTTTTCGAACCAGGCACATCATGAAAAAGAGAAAACAGACACACACACTGAGTAGGAGACCAAAAACCGTGTCCCCCGTGTCTCTGTGTCTCCCCGTGTCTCCCTCTCTCTCGCTCTGTGTCTCTCTGTGTCTCCCTCTGTCTCTCTGTCTCCCTCTGTCTCCCCGTGTCTTCCCGTGTCTCTCTGTGTCTCTCTGTGTCTCTCCCCGTGTCTCCCTCTCTCTCCCCGTGTCTCCCTCTCTCTCCCCGTGTCTCCCTCTCTCTCCCCGTGTCTCTGTGTCTCCCCGTGTCTCCCCGTGTCTCCCTCTGTCTCCCCGTGTCTCCCCGTGTCTCCCCGTGTCTCTGTCTCCACCTGCTCCAAGACTTGAAGGCGTTGCTTGCCCTCTTAAAGAGATATCCCTGTGTCTCTCTGTGTCTCCCCGTGTCTCTCTCTGTCTCTCTGTGTCTCCCTTTGTCTCCCCCTGTCTCCCTGTGTCTCTCTCTGTCTCCCCGTGTCTCCCCCGTGTCTCCACCTGCTCCACGACTTGAAGGCGTTGCTTGCCCTCTTAAAGAGATATCACTCTGTGTCTCTCTCTGTGTCTCCCTGTGTCTCCCTCTGTGTCTCCCTGTGTCTCCCTCTGTCTCCCTGTGTCTCCCCGTGTCTCTCTGTCTCTCTGTCTCCCCGTGTCTCCCTGTGTCTCCCCGTGTCTCTCTCTGTCTCCCCGTGTCTCCCCGTGTCTCCCCGTGTCCCCACCTGCTCCACGACTTGAAGGCGTTGCTTGCCCTCTTAAAGAGATAACCCTGTGTCTCTCTCTGTCTCCCCGTGTCTCTCCGTGTCTCTCTCTGTCTCTCTGTCTCCTCGTGTCTCTGTGTCTCTCTCTGTCTCTCTGTCTCCCCGTGTCTCTCCCCGTGTCTCCCTGTGTCTCCCTGTGTCTCCCCGTGTCTCCCCGTGTCTCCCTCTCTCTCCCCGTGTCTCCCTGTGTCTCCCTGTGTCTCCCCGTGTCTCCCTGTGTCTCCCTCTCTCTCCCTGTGTCTCCCTCTCTCTCCCCGTGTCTCCCCGTGTCTCCCCGTGTCTCTGTCTCCACCTGCTCCAAGACTTGAAGGCGTTGCTTGCCCTCTTAAAGAGATATCCCTGTGTCTCTCTGTGTCTCCCCGTGTCTCTCTCTGTCTCTCTGTGTCTCCCTGTGTCTCCCCCTGTCTCCCTGTGTCTCTCTCTGTCTCCCCGTGTCTCCCCCGTGTCTCCACCTGCTCCACGACTTGAAGGCGTTGCTTGCCCTCTTAAAGAGATATCACTCTGTGTCTCTCTCTGTGTCTCCCTGTGTCTCCCTCTGTGTCTCCCTGTGTCTCCCTCTGTCTCCCTGTGTCTCCCCGTGTCTCCCCGTGTCTCTCTGTCTCTCTGTCTCCCCGTGTCTCCCTGTGTCTCCCCGTGTCTCTCTCTGTCTCCCCGTGTCTCCCCGTGTCTCCCCGTGTCCCCACCTGCTCCACGACTTGAAGGCGTTGCTTGCCCTCTTAAAGAGATAACCCTGTGTCTCTCTCTGTCTCTCTGTCTCCCCGTGTCTCCCCGTGTCTCCCTGTGTCTCCCTGTGTCTCCCCGTGTCTCCCCGTGTCTCCCTCTCTCTCCCCGTGTCTCCCCGTGTCTCCACCTGCTCCACGACTTGAAGGCGTTGCTTGCCCTCTTAAAGAGATATCCCTCTGTCTCCCTGTGTCTCTCTCTGTCTCCCTGTCTCCCCGTGTCTCCCCGTGTCTCCCCGTGTCTCCCCGTGTCTCCCCCGTGTCCCCATCTGCTCCACGACTTGAAGGCGTTGCTTGCCCTCTTAAAGAGATATCCCTGTGTCTCTCTGTGTCTCCCCGTGTCTCCCCGTGTCTCCCTGTGTGTCTCTCTCTCTGTCTCCCTCTGTGTCTCTGTGTCTCCCCGTGTCTCCCCGTGTCTCCCTGTGTCTCTCCGTGTCTCTCCCCGTGTCTCCCCCCTGTGTCTCTCTGTGTCTCCCTGTCTCTCTCTGTCTCCCTGTGTCTCCCCGTGTCTCTCTGTGTCTCCCCGTGTCTCCCCGTGTCTCCCTGTGTGTCTCTCTCTGTCTCCCTCTGTGTCTCTGTGTCTCCCCGTGTCTCCCCGTGTCTCTCCGTGTCTCCCCGTGTCTCCCTGTGTCTCTCCCCGTGTCTCCACCTGCTCCAAGACTTGAAGGCGTTGCTTGCCCTCTTAAAGAGATGTGTCTCTCTCTGTCTCCCCGTGTCTCTCTCTCTGTCTCTCTGTGTCTCCTCGTGTCTCTCCCTGTGTCTCCTTCTGTCTCCCCGTGTCTCCCTCTCTCTCCCCGTGTCCCCACCTGCTCCAAGACTTGAAGGCGTTGCTTGCCCT